GCTCCCCTTTCAGGGCCTGTGTCCATTGATGGCGCTTATTCTACGGCTCCATAGAGCACATCACTCCTGTCTTTGATTTTAAAATTCTCCTTCTCACCTTCAAGGCTCTCCATCACCTCACACCTCCGTATCTTACTGATCTCCTCCACACCTACACACCCATCCGGACCCTGCGTTCTGCCTCCTCCATGCTCCTCACCACACCTCCTGCCCGCCTCTCATCAATGGGGTCTCGAGCCTTCAGCCGAGCAGCCCCCGTCTCTGGAACGCTCTCCCACTTACCGTCAGTCACATCAACTCTCTTCAAACCTTCAAATCACAGCTCAAACACCTTTTTAGATTAGCCTACTGCGTTTGACCACGCCCTTCTTTCTTTTGCTGTTTTTGTTTTGAATGCTGTGTTCTTGCAGTTGATTGTGCTCTTTAGACTCACTGTTTTACCTCTGTGTCTGTAAGGTGGCCTTGAGTGACCTGAAAGGCGCCCATAAATAAACTGCATCATTGCGCTGGCAGCGCCCACAACCTCCGCTTCTCGTCAGCGCTCATTGTTGCTCGGTTACAAAATGTAACTTCTGCTTCCATTGTCAGGTCTGATACTGTAGCTCTGTACTCTTACTTAGTTTTTTTCAAGAAAACTTCACCAAGAGACCAGGTACGGTCGAATGATTTCCACGAATCCACACTGAATTCCACATTGAAAATGATTCAACTGTAAAATCAGGGAATTTGCTGAAATGTGTGTGTGTGTGTGTGTGTCCAAGCCTGTGAGCTAAATGAACAGACAAAAACGAGCACTGCAGCGCCCGTCAGCCTGTCTGTGTGTGACCTGTGTTCGGGGGCGGGGCTCGTCTCCCCCACACCATCAGACGTAGCGAAGAGAACATCCGACACGTCAAAATCTCAAACAGAATTAAGAGACCCGAAGCGTTCAGAACATTATCAGAACGACTTTTATGAAACTATTCTGACCTGAAACTGCTTAATTGAAAAGACGAGTCTCCTCCGCCATTGTTGGTGACGAAGCTGATACCAGAAGCCCCGCCCCTTCTTGATTCTGGTGTTAAAAAGAACTTTATTCACGGCGGCCTGTGTATACAGTCAGACTTCAGAGGGGACACTTTGAAACATTAAAGCTAAGGTGTCTTTTTAGCTCTAAATTCATCTTTTACTTTGTAAGAGGAGAGCATTGTTTGTCATCAGTGTGCGAGGCGCCAGGCAGCAACAGGTCCTGAATGAGTCACTGTGTGTGGAATAAAGGAGCCGTTTGTAGAACAAAGACACGACACTGAGGACGACAGCCGAGCCGAGCACAGCAGCATTGTTCGAGGTACCAGCTGAACAAATCTCTGACAGGACATGAAGGAACATCAGCGTGAACTTAGGATCCATCATCGGGACTTACTACACTCTAAGATTCCCCCGAGGGGTCAAATGAAAACCCCAGAGTGAGGAAACAGAGACGTGTGTCATGTATGGTGCCATCAAACATCCTCCTGAACACGTCAGATCAGCCAGCAGACGGCTCATTCAGAGAGCGAGCAGGGGGAAATGTGTACTTTCAGGATGTGTGGTTCAGCCTACGTCCTCCAACGGAGGGGCACAAGAGAAAAAAAAAAAACTGTCTGAACTCACGCAGTGATCTGATTCCATGGTTTGGATTACTGTGATTCTAATTGTGTTAGCATGTTAATGGAAATTTCCATTATGTGTTTGCATCAAGCTAACTGACTTAGAATAATGCACCAGCTGTCACTGAATCTGAGCGACTGCTCTTACTCGATCCAGGTCTAAAACAGTCCTCACCTCTTGTTCCTCTTTCTGACTCCTTCCTGTGCTTTAAGACGTTTAGAAGGACGGTTAGCTGCTTCAAAAAAAAAAACACAACAAAGACCGGCTCGTTAACCGGGAGTTCAGATTCAATCCACACTGAAGATCACATGAACGTCAGGACCTTCACCTAACGGATACATGTCCTGATCCTTTTTACACTTGGACTCAAATAGAAACGTAGGCAGCGCGCCGAAGTTTTAAAAACAAGAAATTGCCCAATATTCATTTCCTAAAGCGCCTTTCAGAGAGGAGTCTGCGAGCTGCTCTCAAACCCGTTCATTGTCTATGTGTTACATGGCGTGAAAGCGAATCTGCGTCGCACTGAGCTGATCGCAGCACAGCGTCGCGCCCGCCGCCGCTGTCCCTGAGCTCTATTCTACAGACCTATGGGCGTCCGAGAGAGAGAGAGAGAGAGAGAGAGAGAGAGCTCGTGTTTGTAAAGACAAGTCATGCTCGTTATGGAGCTGCAGCTCCTGGACGAGACGAGACTCTCGCACATCCTGTCGTGGTCTGAGGAGCTCATGAAGCCATGCCCTCCTCTTCTTCTTCTTCTTCTTCTTCTTCTTCTTCTTCTTCCTCGTCTCCTCCTCCTCAGCAGGAGAAAGAGCAGAGTGGACACATACAAACAGTCCAAAATGTAGATATTTTAACGACTATCGTTTCGGTCACCTAGCGACCTACCTGCTCTGTTACGTTGTGCGTGTGCATGCCCCCCTCCCCTGCGGCGAGCTGCATCCTATCTGACAGACCCTCAAGACTTCTGTTTGTGTTGCCGTGGTTTCCAAACAGGTATGATACCATTTGATTTTTTTTTTTTAAAGATTTTTTTGGGGGGCTTTTTGTGCCTTTAATGGAGAGATAGGACAGTGGACAGAGTTGGAAATCAGGGAGAGAGAGAGAGAGAGATGAGAATGACATGCAGGAAAGGAGCAAGTGGCCGGATTCGAACCTGGGCCGCCCGCTTGGAAGACTACAGCCTCCATTCATGGGGTGCGCGCACTAACCACTGCGCCACCAGCGCCCCGATATCGTTTGATTTTGACAAGAGGCATGTTGAAGTTTGTAACTCTGCTCTCAGGGCTCAAAACTCTGTTCCGTTAAAGGAGCCTGCAGTCGGCTCAGCTTTGAACAAAGACGATAAGAAGGTAGTGATGATGTCACGCCGAGCTGTTCGAACTTCATGAAGCGAAACTGGTCACAGGTAAAAACCCAAACAGAGCAGAGTGTTTCCCTCCACCACAGAGCCATCTCAGAATGCTTTCTGGTTATTTTTAGCGGTTCCACTGCAACGAACAGAGTGACAGGAAGGAGGGGTTAGCGGTGAGAATCTGAAGCCACAAACATCCGACACGAGCTGCAGGCGCACACACACACACACACACACACACACGGTCTGTCCACACGCTGACGAGGATCCAGCATCAGATAAGAGTGTTGTTAGAGCTGAAATGAGCCGCGCTTCAGGGCTGAGCCTTTATCTCAAACATCAGGGTTTTAGAAAGAGTGAGCATGAAGGACACACTGAGACAAAAGATCCTCACTCACATGTTCTCTGTCGTCTCCTCTCGGCTCTATCCCGCCCATCAAGGCTGCCAACAACCGTTTCTTTCATCATCCATTAAAGTCATCAAAGATTTATTTACTGCATTAACTGGGTGTTGAACTTCGACCCCGGTAACTGTAGTTTAACACAACTGATTTACTGACCGACATGGTGGAGTAGTCTGATGCTCGGACCACATGGACCACAAGAAGACTAAACCTGGGCTGGAAAGCTAGACCACTATTTAGACAGTCCACATGAACGCTGGACTGATCCAGGAGGTGGCCGATGAGAGCAATCATGCTCTGTGCTTCCTCGTCCGTCAACACTCCGGGTTCAACCGATCTAGGACCCCCCCCCCCACCCCCCCCCCCCACCTCAGACACATTGGCTGGACTGTAGATCCAAAAGTTCACTTAACCCTTCAATAACCAAACCGTGGTCCTACACTTCAAAAATATAAACCTGAAGGAAACACAGCAGGAGTCCGTGTTCACCTGCAGGGATCCACATGTTGCTCCTTTAAATGAAGCTTGTTGAGAAACTTAGTTTGGATGAAAAGCTTGTGTTTGAATAATTAGCCTACTAACATGCATGTGTGGGTAACTAAGGAAACTCTGACTTTTTAGTTTCAGGAAAAACAACAAACACATCTTGATTTTATAAAACCAGAGAGCAGGAAGGGAGACGGACTTAAGGCGACTCGTAAAGTTCACTTGTCGTCTCTCGATCATGATGAAGACTCCTGACTAACTTAGTTATTGTAAGGTTTGCATTAATCATAAAAAAAAGTGTGATACATCACAGAGCTACATGAAGCCCCCTGTGTGGCTCACTACACAGGAGAGATCTGCAGACCATCATTTCTCCCACAGATGACACCCTGCTGCTCCGCCCGGCCGCCCCACCCACCCATCACTGCGCATTCCTCGAACTGAAGAAGATACGAGATGTTGCGCGTCGGGTCCATGTGATCACATCTGAATCAGGAGCTTCTGCCCCGCTTCCAAAATCACATTACTGTTAATGTGTGCGCACATTCAGCGAGAAGATTGGATCAACGCAGCAGCCGTCGTGAGGGAGGGGAGAGTCCAGGAGTCGTGACGAGATTTTTACGATGGACACAAACAAAAACCACAAAGTGAGACGAACAACACAGAAGAAGTAACTTCATTTCACAAGGAGAAGAAGGGGGGGGGGGGCTGGTGGGTGTGTGCATGTGCAGGGAGGAGAGCATTCACGCGCGCAGAGAGAGAGGAGACCTGAGAGTATGAGAGGAATGTGCGCGTGGAATGAGGAAGTGTGCAGCCGGTCAGTGAGGCGGAGGGGTGAGAGTTAATCTGATAAAAGTCAGCACGGGAAAACTATTCATCAGAGCGTCTGTCAATGCTGCCTTTATACCCGAGTGTGTGTGTCAGAGTGTTTCCCAACCCGGGGCACTGAGTGTGTGTGTGTGTGTGTGTGTGTGTGTGTGTGTGTGTGTGTGTGTGTGCGTGCGTGCGTGTGTGTGTGTGTATTTGTGTGTGCGTGCGTGCGTGCGTGCGTGTGCGCAAGGAGTTCTGTTCTGCACTGACCAAGAAGTTTCACATGATGTTCATTAATGAGAAGATAAATGATTGGTCCTTACCTCGAGGACCTGCACGTAGCTGGAGGGGAACCAGCCCCTCTCCCCGTCCCTCTCGCCCTCCCACCAGCCCCCGGGCAGAGCTTGGACCACCTTGATGACCTCCCCGGCCTGGAAGCTGAGACCCTGCTGGTGCTGCTCCCCGCTGAACGGGTACAGACTCTTACAGAAAGATCCGGACATCTCCGCGGCAACTTTCTCAGGACGATGATGATGATGATGATGATGATGATGATGATGATGATGATAGTCCAAACGGCTCCTCGTGAAATAAAAACTAACTTTTTAAAGCACGCGAGGGTTTAAATCCAGAGTTTGTGTCTCGTGCTGCTCGCGGAGGAAAACTTGTGTGAAGTTGGTGAACAGGTTCTCCTCCTGCTCCTATCTGCTCCTCTCTCTGCTCCTCCTGCCTGCACACCACAGACTGTAAACACTGAACACACACCCTCCGTCTGAAGACACGGGGGAGAGAGAGAGAGAGAGAGAGAGAGAGAGAGAGAGAGAGAGAGAGAGAGAGAGAGAACGTCAAGGTACCCGGATAATCACGGAAAACACCAAGCTCAACACGACCGATTTCAGAATAAAACTTTTTTTTTTAATTAGAAAGATTTCCTCTGTATTTATCAAAAAACAATTCATTATTGTACACATTTTTCGTACATTTGTGACGTTTTAAAACTCTTCTATTTCCTCTAAAGAGATATTTTCTTATCTGAATATGTTTGAAGAGATAATTTAACATTATAAATGAGTATTTTTTAACATTAACGTGACTTCTTTTTATGTAAATCAGCGATTATAAAGTAAAGCTGCAGTCTTGAGCAGCTCTGATTCTAATATCTAAATATTTTGGGATCGTCCTTAATTTCGTGTTTTTGTACACTTCCTTTGGTGATATGTTTCTGATATCAATAAAATGATGAATTAGATTAAATCTAAATACAGACCGACAAAATAAATAGACTTCCAAATAAACATTAATGAAACAAATCATTCAAAGTTGAATTTACAGAATGTTTTAAAAGTAAATGTAGCCTTATTAAACTTCTTTAAACCACGACTGCTTCATATTTATAGAACAATTAGCCTACACGTCCTTTTCTTGGTTGTATTTCATCAGGTTGTCTTTTTGATTTGTTGTATTTTCACCATCATCTGTAAATCATATACCTCCAGAGATGATAAAGGTCTGAACTGAACTGAAAACAACTTTTCTTTTTATCAGGAAATCAGACATTCAAACAAACCTCCTCGTAGCGTGCTGCGGGATTAAAGACACGAGCTTCAGAGACCTGGTTCGTTTTTTTTTTTTTTTTTAAATGAGACTTAACACATGTTCAAAATGTGAGAACAATCTCTGGAAAAGACTTATTTTTCTAATACATTTTCAGATCTTTGTTTGTATATATTTTGATATATTTTATTTTTGAAATTTTAACCGGAAGTTCTCTCCCTTATTGCGGCATGCTTAACGAAAGTTGTAGAACTCCCCTCGCGCTCTGCTTTTTTTTTTTTTAAAACATCATGAAATCGTTTGTCGATGTTGTTTTGTTATATTTTTATTTTCATTTGAGCAGATGTGGTAATTTACACACTTTATTCTGAAGGATTAAGGAGGGGGGGGGGGGGGGGGGAGTGAGATCCAAAGTCTTTCACAGCGCAGATAGAGAGTTGACATCAGTGTAACATCAATGTGTGGAGCTTTATTTGTTTTATTTTTAACCTTCCTGTATCACTCCGGACATTTAGGTGTGAATGTTTCACTTACATTTGGAAATTATTTTGACCGTGTTGCTGCACATCTTTCTAGATAAATGTTGAAACTCCAATTTGATTTTTTCTAAAACGTCTTTATAGAGCCAGTCGTCCGCTCCCTCAAACTTCTTTAAAAATAATACAGAATTATACTTTTTTTGGCGGGGGGGGGTTCAATCTTTCAATCATCAAATTGACTTTTAAACACAGTTTATGAGTATTTATTTATTCTCTCCTTATTGTTTTCTCTGTTTTATCACTTTTCTCCCTATCTGAATTGTTTTCCTTTCAAAAACTTCCTGCATGTGGACAGGTGTTGAGAACTAGCATGCTTGCCAAAACACTTAAACAATGCATCTGGTTCGTCCAATGTATCTGTGATGTCCGTGCCAAATAAAGTCTATTATTATTATTATTATATTTAATTATTTTGAGGATGTTAACCCTTTAAATGTCAGTTTGGTTACATAATGTCAGAGGTTTCTATAAACAAAAAAACATTAAAAACCACAGTACCAGCAAGTTCAGTTCACATGCTGACAACACAATGACAGCAATCATAGCAACTAAATCAACAACAACAACAACAACAAACAAAAACTTTACAAAAGAGAGAAAGAAAAGGTAAATTACAGAGAACATTTAAAAAGAAACACTTTATTTTGGAGGGAAAGTCGAACATGACATTCTGACGTCACATCTAGTTTTTGTTGGTTCTTCATTTCTCCTGCAGCTCATTGTTAAAACACAGCGTTACTGAAGTTATCTCAACCTGAGACAGAGACAGAGATGCGTCACACTCTGGATTCTAATTTTTCTTTGACTTTTAAATCACTAAAAACATCCTGCAGGAATCCTCATGTTGATGTGTTTTAGATGATGCACAACATGGAGCCTAGCCACGTTTGATGAAAAGTTCATTTTTGAAAAATGTCTTCTTACAATAATATGTGTCTGTGGCTCAGTGGTAGAGTCGGTCAATTCTGAACCGAAAGGTCGGGGGTTTGAACTCCAACATGTCCGATGTGTCCTTGGGCAAGACATTTAACCTCAAGTTGTGCCCGGTGTCTTGGTGGCGTATAAATGGGAATATAGTGCATTCAGAAATTGAGAGTTGCCGGTCCGCCTGACCTCAGAATTCGGCCGCCCGGAGAAAAAGCGCAGCGTCAAGCGTGCTCTATAGCTGCTCCGATCACCAAAGTTAGAAATCTTTCAACTTTTCAGAATGGTGCTGTTGACGTCACCGGCACCTCTATTTCCTGGACGTAACCAGCCAATCACAGTGACTCTGTGAGGAGAATGTTTGGGTTGCCTGGCAACAGTCAAGTTTCAAACTAGCATCATCCAGCTTCCATGAGTTTTATTTTTTCTGCTTACTGTCTATTTAAGAACACTTAAAAAATGCACGTCAACACGGATGTCATTTTTCTTTTGTTTTGAGGGGATCGCCATGGAAACCGTTTGTTGACAGGAAACATGAGAATGATGCAGACGATGCTCTCCTGTTCTCTGTCCACCTGTCCAGGAGCGCCTAGGTTTCTCTCTCTCTTCACCTGACCTCCTGAAACGTTCTCCTTGTGTCAGGTACTTCAAGTATTTCTTTGTATTCTTTGTGTTTAGCCAGAAGAGCTTAAATGTTATCGTCTCATGAGTAAGACAGACATGGAAATATAATAATCCTCTTCTCAGAGATGAGACGTTTGTGTCTCTTACTAACCACAGGATTTCTAAATTCTTGGCTTTAAACTTAAATTCAGTTGTGATCTTTCAAACAGTATAGGAAGCATTTAGAGTAACAATTAGAGGCTGGGTTATCGGCTCCTTAACAGCTCAAAAGAAGCAGATAAAAAAACATAACGAAAGCTTCGCTGAAAGATCTTAAAATTAAACTCAAAGAACAGATCATCTAAATCAGTTTTTTTTTTTTTATGAAAACTGTCTTAAAGGTCCAATCAGTGAGATGTGTAGTGAGTGAAATGATAAAGTGACCTTCCTATATGATCAGACATTAAGGAAACATGCTATGTTGAAGTTCTGGCTTCTCTGACAACAATGCAGCAGCCAGTATGTCCTCCTTCTAACTTTAGATTCTGGTCCTGAATGCTCTGGATTTGTTTGGACCAGAGAAGGTAGGCGGTTTTAAGGCGCCCCACACGGCCGTTTTGGACACCCCTCGGTTTGCCAGATATGATTCCAGTTATCAGGTCAAACCAACATGTGTTGCAGCGATGGAAGCGGGCAAGAGAACTGGTTCAGATAGAAGTGATTGTACCCGACCTAAAAAGCCTCTGAGAGAGGTTAGAACACAGAAAGGTTTACAGACCGATGCAGAGCTGGATAAACACTGAAGCTTCAGTGTCCACCACATGGATCCTGAGTGAGCATCGATTCTAGAGAGGAGGGGGCGGGGGGAGACAGTTTTCTACAATGTTTAGAATTTAGACTGCAGTACCCATTTTAACACTAGGTTCAGAGTTACATACAGCTCCTTTAATTTTTGATTCGTTCAGAAGTCTTTGGTCTCCTGCTCTGCAAACAGATATAAGGCTGTTAAATGTTGATCTATAAGAGTCGTATTATTGGTCTTACTTTACACTGAGGAGCAGATCAACATCATCAACCGTCGCTAAGGGTAACCTCGTCCCGAGGTCGAGGACATTCCTGATAACCACGACAACAAACGGCAGTACATCTTATCGTGTATCAGGCTTTAATGGTCCAAACCTCAATGACGTGACTGTTTTTCATCAGGGGTTTAACTTCGGTTCAACATGAACACTTCAGTCTTCAGCAACTTCTCCACATGAGACCGCCGTCTTCCTGCAAGCGAGGGCAGCAGCTCTATGGAGCAGAGGTCAGTCCGTCACAGTGATCGTAGAGCTCCGTGGTCTTTATATTAATGTTCAGGACGAGCTCATCAGTCTGTGATCTGAACGTGTCGTGCAGAAGATGCTCCTGCGGCAGTTTGTGCTCATGAAGCTGCAGCAGGAAGTTCCTGTTGATTTATCTGCTGCAGACATGAAGAGGTGGCTGCTGGCTGGATGGAGCTTCCTCAAAGAGTGAGACCAACACTCGATAGAAGAATTAACTTTAATTAATGCAAATTAAACCAAAACGATAAAACACATGTTTCCTCCTTCTCTTAAAGGTTCCAGGAAACAGTAGAAGGAGTGGAGACGAGGAAGCTGCTCATGGTTGAACTGGTAAATAAAACAGATTTTAAACAGAGAGTGTTTAAAGGTATTTTAAAACGAATCATTGCTCATCGTTAGGCACTCTCTTCAAATATACCGGACGCCATCGAAAAAACAGTCGAGCACTCTTGTTGTGTTACATCCAGACGAACCATTTCAACACTAAAACACAAAACAAGTCACCGTTGAGGCAGCGGTAGCTCGACACGTCCGTTGTTTTAGAAGGTAACACCCGTGTTTCTGTCCATGTAGCCCGGTGTGTTTGTAGAGAGAGATGTTTGTGTTGAAATAAATCGTCAGGTCGATCTCTGCAGGGATCCTTTCTGTAACGTTTTCACACACTCGTAATTGCTAGTGTTGTAGTACTCGAGATCGGTCTCGAGACCACTTTTTGAAGGTCTTGTACTCGTCTCGGAATCTAAAGCATTTGTACTCGGTCTTGTCTCGGCCTCAGACTTGGCAGACTTTAAATCAAGACCTTCCC